CGGAACTCTAATGAACACACCCGCCCCTGAAAGTCCTGTTGTTTGCGGAGCAAGAAACACTGGCGAGTTAACTAGCAATCAAGGTCGGGCCACCTGGGCGCACGCCCACATCTTAAGAGAAAGCGATTACACAAAAGAAGTGAACACGTCGTTTAAACCTTCTTTATCTGCAAAATTCGAAACTGACAGGTGTCCCCTTTGCAAAAGCGGGCAGTTTTCTCTCCGCCTTTAACAGCTGGTAGAGCTGGTTTTGATCCATTGATATTGATACAGACTGAAACTCCGATTTCCCCAAAGGAAGCAGACTTGTACCTGAAATTGTTCATTTTATTCCTGATAACACAAAAGAAGGGTTTTAAAAATATACCTTGCTGTACTCTGTCAAAATAAAATAAAAATAAATATTTTCATCCAATTTGCTTGTTTTCTGCCCACTTCCTTTACCCTTACAAGAATGCGTACCAGTGGCCAGGTTTAGGCCGACAAGAGGTCTGTTAGGTGAATACAGTAGCAAAAATAAAGTGGACTGGAGTTTTCTTGAAAAAACACTCAAACAAAAAGACCCCTCAAATCCAAACATTCCTTGTAAAAGTCAACTTGTACTATGAGTAGATACTATGGGTATTTTGTGTCATGAAGATATTTGATTTACAGGAGATATTTGTTTGCAACAAAACAAAACATAATATAGCCAGAATCTCTGCAAGTCAGCCCAGGACTCTGCATGTGCCTCCAGCCCTTTCAAAAGGTACTTACATTAAAGCTCACCATATCCATTTCCTGGCAAATACGATGTAAATATACTTACATTAATTGACCTATTTTAATCTAAACCAAGCAAATTCAAAACCCTCTTACTTTGCTTTTGAATTAATAGACTTTTACAATTTCAACATAGTAATCAAGGAAGAGCAGCTGTGAATAAAGTGTTCTGAGTCAATGCAAATATTAGCGCAGGAAAAACTGCAGGACAGCAACATAATAATCAAATATAGTTTAAATGCATTTTATTTTAGAGAATAAAATAGGTAGTATAATAAGAATAGAATGGAATATATAATGAGATGAAAGTTCTCTTAATATTAGTTTAAAAGTTTAATCGATTATTTTCAGACTTTGGGGGGAAAACATGTCCTTTCAAACGATTTGTCTGTTAACACTCCCGAAAACTCAGGAGAAATTAAAGATAACATCACAGACAACAACACCATTTATTTATTTTGTTATATTTTCACTTTGATTAGCTTCTTTTACTAACATGTTTTACCCGGACATAATTTTAGGGCAACTTGGAATATATATTCTAATTCTGCTCAAACTAAATATGGTGGAGACTCTACGATATTTCTTTGGACACTAGAATTCATTTAGGAAAACAAGTATTTGATTAATTGATTTGGCTTTAACTTTAAAAAATGTACTTATTTATATTTTTGAAGGGTAAGGACTCTAGGAACACACCAAAATTACAGAGGTGAGAAATAGTCTAACAAATGATTACAGTGAGACCAAAACTTAGTTTCTATGCATTCTTAGAGGTGGTTTTAAGTTATTTTTGAAGTTATGTTAAAAACACTTTGAACAGTATATTATCTTAAACTTCACAACGATTTGTAAAAAAAAAGGAAGAAAGAAAAGCAGTATCAATAATTTTAACGTTTGAAAAACAAAAAACTCAAAAAAGCAACCGAATGACAGGAGTTGCCGAGACCTTCGGTGGTCGGTCAATATGATGAAAGTCTGTGGATGAAAGCAATAGCTGAAGAGTGAACGCATTTTCCTCCCAGATCTCCTGTGAGAGTGATTTTAATCTGGAACGCGGACCGACACGACCAAGCGGAATTCTGGGGGTGAGGGGAGGTTAGGGGACGAACTAGTCATTTTCTCGTTTGAGGACTTTGCGCCTGTGCCTCGAGGGGAGAATCCCCGCTTGAAACTAGAGAAAAGAAAATTCGTGGAACTGCCCAAGACCGGTTTTTCCCCGTCTCTGCCGGTCTGCTGCCAACGGCTAGCGGCTCTGAATTGCACTTCACTGTTGGATTGACTTTTCTAACAAACCCGATTGTGCCCTTGACCTGGGAAGTAAGAGGACCAGGAGCTGGAAGACGGTCGCTTCCTGAAGTTACAGGAGCGCATTTGCTTTTCCTGCCTTTTGCCAAAGGAAAAGGTTGTAATCCTGCAGGAGTGGCCGGGGCCCCATCCGGGCCGGGTCCCACGCTGCATCAGTCCGCGCGCCCAGTGCGCGCTCAGCGATGCCGAGGTCTAGGTCGCGCGAGTCTCGGGATTTAGCGGGATGTAGGTTCCCGAGCATCCCGTAACACTGACCCGCTTTTAGAGGCCAGCTTTTCTCTGGTTATGGCTGGGAACCGGAGCGTGCCGCCCGCAGAACAAAGGCTCAGGGAATAAACTCCGGAAACCCACCTTTCCTCGCCGCCCAGGGAGGCCAAAGAGCGAGTTAAGTCACTTCAATCTGTTTCTTTTATTGGGCGCTTCTAATCACCCTAATGAAGTGATGCACAGGCGAAGAAGGCTTCGTCTCAGCCCTGCGGAGCCCACAGCGACCTACGCTCTCGCCTGGTCCCTTGCAGTCTCCGAAAAGCTTCTGTAGATGGAATGGGTGTAAATACGGTTTTGTCGTGGAATTTCCACGACAATACCAATAGAGACGATTTTTTTAAGGGTCCTTTCAGGTGAATGGAGGCTGAAAACTCACCAAGCCCCAAACCCTCTTTCAAAAAGTTTAGGGAACAGGCCAAGAGTTTTTTCGGGAGGTTGGGGCCGCAGAGCTCACCTCCCCCCCACCCCCTTCCCCAAGCTCATCTCCCGCACCTTCTCCGGGTTCACTTTCCAGGACTTTCTTCCCATTGGGCCAGGTCCCTTCGCAGTCCCTGGGCGCACGTGTGCTCCTAGGCCAACGAGGACACGGGGACCTTTGGCACTCCCTCGGATGGCCTTCCTCTCCTCCGCCCCCAAATGAGCACAGACTCCCGAACACGCACAACAGCTACAACGAAAGCCGGGAGTAGAGGCCCAAAGAGGGCCGGCCCCAGAACTAGCTGGCGTGGACGCGCCTACCCAGACGGGGGCGCGCCGTAGCCCACGTTCTTACAGGTGGTTCCCCAGTTGCCTGGGAACTGAGGATTGGCTCTTAGAGGGGTTTGCTGGAAAGGCTGTCTCAAAAGCCTCCCTTAGATCCAATCCGAAACCCCAGAGGCGGGGCGCGGTGAGGAAAAAAAAAAGAGAGAGGCATTAACTTCTCCCCGCCCTGGCCGGTCTTGACTTTAGTTTCCCGTTACCCCAAGGGCTGAGGTCAACCTACCCCTCTGTTCCTAGTTCTGCCCGGGAGGAGGTGACGGGCCTTGCTGGTGCCTGAAACGTGGATGCTGGCGGGCGAGCGAGGAAAGGCGGAGCAGGAGTTGGGTGGGGAGTGGGCTGCATCTTTATAAACCTGCGGGCAGCTGGTGGGCGCTGGCGCTGCGCTCCGAGTGGAGACTTTACAGCATCGCGTCCAAGAACAGAGCTCCGCCCGAGTACTTAACCACCCTTGTCCGCTGCTTCTGGATTTCTGAATCTCTCTCTCTCTCATTCTCCCTCCCTCCCTCCTTCCTTCCTTCTTTCCCTCTGTCTCTGTCTCCCCCTTCTTTAAAACAGGGGAAAAATCACCTTGCGCACCTCTAGTTTGTTTTTCTTCCATCTTTCAGAACCCTTGGCAAAGAGCGCTAGCAAGAAGGGCCAGATGCCGGCGGAGGCGGGGCAGAAGGCGGACTGCGCCTGCTCCTACGGGATGAAGCTCAGTTGGGACATCAACGATCCGCAGATGCCTCAGGTGCGTGAAACCCCTCGCGCGGCGCTGTCCATCCAAAAAGGGAGGATGGCTTTTAAGTCCTTGTAGACACTGTGGACAGACCCCCTACTTCCAAACACACATCCCTGAGAGCTCAAATGTACACATGTACTCTACAAATGGCAGAATTGGGTTTTAAGATGTGTCTTCTCCCACCTCTTTCCTCGAGCTTGTTTGAAAACACACGGAAAGCAGCGGGAACTGTCAATCAGGCTCCAAATTCCAGGTCGCCTGGCAGCAGCCGGACACCTTATCCCTCACTTTCTTTTAATTAAGGTAGAAATCAGGCGATTCTCTTCCGATCCATTCTTGGAGACCCACGAGAAACGTAGTGGGGAGGATCTCAGGGGTTGTAGATACCGCTGCTGCTCACGCAGCAAAACTGTGAGATACGGCTGCAAATAGCGGTCATCCGAATCTTAAACTGCACGACTTGGGCTGTTTATCCAGACGCCCGGCTCCTGGGAGGCTCCATCCTCATGCCAATTAGCATGCGGGGGCCCGGAGATCCTCTGGAATTCCGCTTTTGGACCCAACTTCTGAGCTTGCTTCTCTAATGACAAGGAAATCGCTGTCATCCGTTTAGGGTGAATTTGTCTTATTTTGGTTTATTTTAACGGAACAAAGGGGTTTGGAGCCAAGTCCAGGGAATGAGCTGGCTAGTTATGCTTGGTCATACTGGTTTGGGACCAAAACTGAGAAGTGACTTTAAAGTCCTGGGTGTTGGTGGAGGAGGAGTAGGAGCCGCCTGCCAAGCATTTGCAGAGGTGGACTTTGGGCGATGCTGTGGTACAGGGCTGAGTGACTTGGCTTTTATTCATCATCTACTACAAACCATACAGGTGTTCAGATGGATAGCAATTCATTTGCAAGGTTGTGTAACCCCTCAAAGAAATCTGTGCTTTGGGGGGTGTATATATTTGTAGTAAGTTTATTTATTTTAAAGTCTGCCTGCTTTCGGGTCACAGTGCCATTTTTGTGAAAGTGGACCACAGTACAGGAAAGGCATTGTGTTTTCATTGACTTCTGTCCATGTAACTCTTCATAGGGAAAAATCTAGTCTTGCATTTTAGAAAAATCTCACTTAACCAAGCAAATAATGGAAGGATGGCTCCTCTCTCAAGCAGTTTCTAGATTTCCCATGTAGATGTGAATTATTTTTCCTCTGGGGGATTGGTTCTTAAGCAGGGAGTGTGTGTGACATCTCAGAAGAGGCAGGTGCACTGGGCTACAGGAAAAGAACTGGAGAAAGAGGACCCTAGCCCTGCTCCGGCTAACCCACAGAGGAAAAACTCAAAATAGCTGTCCGACCTTGAGACAGTTCCTGAATTTGCCTGAGTCTCAGGCTGCTCACCTGTCAGCAGGTGGTGGAGTTAGATAACAATCTTAAACTCCTGTCTAGATCTTCTGCTGCTTCAGCGTGTGTGTGCTTGTCTGTGTGCATGTGCTCCCCTGAGCCAAAGCAGGAGAGCAAATGAAACCCAATCCAGAGTCCTCCATTCTTGTTTGAAAATGCAGTCTCGGGGGCTCATTTTCAGCATCACTACTTTGGTACCTGGTGTGAGAAAAACGTCGCAATCTAGATAATGCATAATATGGACAAGGACTTGCAGTGAATAAAGCAGTGCTCCGTATTTTAGATGTAACATTATTTTAGCCACGCAGCTCTTTGTTGGAGAGATTGACACTCTGCATTGCTCTGGGGAGAGGTCCGGTGCCCGGCAGGCTTCCACCCAGTGCTCAGGTTTACCTGGATGGTGAGGCTGTCATCGCGATGTCCTTGTAAACCTGGAGGGCTAAGTTGGGAGGATGGAGAGAAGCTGTTCCTGTCTCTCTGGTGTTGCGCTGGGTATCACTGCTGATGTGACTGAACGGTTTGGGAGAGAGCCAAGAGCTTTTGAAGAAAAAGCTCTGGGTAGAAGTAGAGATATTTACAGGTGCAACTGTATGTCTGTGATAGAACTTTCCAATCACTTTTGGCCCTGGCACTTTAATACTCAATTTGATATCATATGATACCACTTATATGTGGAATCTAAAATATGATACAAGTGAACACATTTACAAAACAGAAACAGACTCACAGACGTAGAAAACAAATTTATGGTTACCAAAGGGGAAACGGATGGGGACGGATAAATTAGGAGTTTGGGAGTAGCAGATATAAACTACTATATTAAAAAAAAGAAAACAGCAAGGTCCTACTGTATAGCACAGGGAACTATATTCAATATTTTATAATAATCTATAATGGAAAAGAATATGAAAAAGAATATATATATATATAACTGAATCACTTTGCTATACACCAGAAACTAACACAACATTGTAAGTTAACTGTACTTCAATTAAAAAAAACCCACTTAATTTGAAATATTTTCAGCATTTTAACACACCAAGTAGTGGTATAACATGATGGTTGGGAGAACAGGCTCTGGAGTCAAACTGCTCCGGGTCAAATCCTAGAGACAGGTCTTACTGGCTGTGCGACCTTGGGCAAATTAATGAACCTCTCTGGCCTCCATTTACTATTCCATTAAATGGGGGTACTGACAGTACCTGTTGTCTGTATGCATTATGAGGACTAGATGAACTACGCAGAGCTTCTAGAAGATACGCACTACATAGACACCGTTGTCAGAAAGGCACACACTGGATGCCCGACCTTTCGTGAGAGCACCGTTTCTGGGTTTGACAACATTTCTGGAATTAAAAAGACCCCCTCTTGATTCCAATGTGCTGGGGCAAAGTGAGAACCGGGATGTGCCGGGTCTGGGCTTGATCAGCCTGACCGCGCCTCCTGCGGGGCGCCTCTCCAGGAGCCTGCCCACTTCGACCGCTTCTGCGAGTGGCCCGACGGCTACGTGCGCTTCATCTACCGCGGCGACGAGAAGAAGGCGCAGCGCCACCTGAGCGGCTGGGCCATGCGCAACACCAACAACCACAACGGCCACATCCTCAAGAAGTCGTGCCTGGGCGTGGTGGTGTGTGCGCGGGGCTGCGCCCTGCCCGACGGCTCCCGTCTGCAGCTGCGACCTGCCATCTGCGACAAGGCGAGGATGAAGCAGCAGAGTGAGCGCGGGGGACAGGGGACAGGGGTGGGGGGGGAGGGTTCTGCAGAGGTGAGGTCCCTCTTCCCGACCGATTTCCCTTTTCTTCCTTCCCAGGGGGCTGGGGTCGGGTTGTTAGGAGTACTTCTCCCTTTGGCTTTGCAGAGAAGGCCTGCCCCAACTGTCACGCGGCTTTGGAACTGATCCCCTGTCGAGGGCACAGCGGGTACCCGGTAACCAATTTCTGGAGGCTCGATGGCAATGCGATATTTTTTCAGGTAGGTGAGGGGTCACCACAGTTTGCAATGGACGTTCTCATCATGCCATAGGGACCAAACCACCTGCCACGTGCCTTAGGAACTCTGGACCAAAACAAATACAGCTCTGGGGGCCAGAAATACATGCTGGGGGTCCCAGGGCCTACTGTGTGCTCTGTCACTGCCAGAGAGTCAGCAGAGTTATAGTTATGGTTGTTTTCATATGGGAAGAGGACTGTAAGGTCATCTTTTAAGATGTCTATTATTTACACAGTTTTATTTGTTGGAGAATTTTTTCCCCTGTCATTTTGAAAAACAAACAAACAAACAGCAACTTGGGATGCTGGGAAAGACATACTCAATTTTTAACCACATTTGCCAGCTTCGCTCAGAGGAACACGTGATTCATTGCCTTATTCACGCAGGCCAAGGGAGTTCATGATCACCCCAGACCAGAGAGTAAGTCAGAGACAGAAGCTAGAAGAAGCGCCATCAAAAGACAAATGGCTTCTTTTTACCAACCCCAGAAGAAGAGAATTCGAGAACCTGAGGTAACGGGGAGCTGACATTACACTAGGGTCTGTGTTCATTTTCATCACACAATACACTGATCACTATGTAAAATACGAATGTCATACTTTAAATGGTTTGATTTTATGTGACAATTATCTCTAACAAAATGTCATTCAGTCAATATTTTGGATAAAGTTTCTAATCCCTTTTTCTTCTTGAGAAAAAAAAATCAGACTGTCTCTGCAGTCAAGGGCAGAGTGAGGGTGTGTGCTGACATCCTGATGCGAGGGCAATTACCCAGTGGTCGTACAGAAATAGAGGCGGACCAACGAGTTAACGGTGCATCCTTGAGAGGGTCTTTTACATTATTTGCATGGAACAGATAAAACTTCCTTGGGCAACTTGATCCAGTTTGGCTTTTCAACCAAAGTATGCCAAGCAGGCAGCATATTAGTCTGGGGATGAGAGACACTGGCATTGAGCAAGTCTAGGCACCAGACCCCTAGGGTCTAAGAGTTTTACACATTAATTGGTCACAAAAGACTTAAGAGGAAGTTACTGTTTTTGAGTCTCATTTTAAGTAAGGAATCTGAGGCTCAGAAAGGTTAAGTCACTTACTGAATTCACAAGGGACCTTCAGGATTTGAACCCTGGTCTGCGTCAGACTCCTGCTATGGTGCACATAGTGTGGGGAGAACAGGACCATCGGCCACGCAGACCCACCCTGCCCAGCCACCGCGGACCCTCCTTGTTCAGCAGCATGGAATTCATGCCTGAGCTCAAGCTGTGAAACTCCTGGCCCACGTGCCCAAATCATGTTTCTGAGCTCACAACGCAGAGCCCACCAACTGGAAGTTTGCTATTTGGTTGGTTGGTTACAGGTGAGGGTGTCCATGCAATTGCATTCTTTATTTACAAATAAAAATTTGTGTCTTTTTTTTTTTTTTTAGGCAGGAGAGAATCAAGACGACAGCGGACATTTTGACAACATACCTCCCCTGGAAAATCCAGAGGAGTTTGATATAATTCCTGACACTGGCTTCCCTGTTCCAGGACAGCCTTGCTTTTCCTTTCCAAACTCGGATGCTTACAAAGCTACCTGTGACCTAGCCACCTTTCAGGGAGACATAGTACCACCCTTTCAGAAATATCCAAATCCAAGAATCTATTGTCCTGGTTATGCAAATTCGAGCCTGTATCCCGCTCTTTATAAAGATTCCAACAATATCCCTAATGACACAGACTGGCTTCATCTGAACGCACTACAATATGATGTCAACTCATACAGCAGCTTCGAGAGAAGCTGTGATTTCACCAGTAAACAGCATGGCTGGAAACCAGCTCTTGGAAAACCTGGCCTTGGGGAGAGGACTGACCATGGACAGTTCCAGGCTGTGGCCACTCGCCCTTACTTCAACCCGGAGCTTCCCTGCAGGTATCTCACAACCCCTCCACCAGGTCCTTCAGCCCTACAGACGGTGATCACCACCACCACCAAAGTGTCCTACCAGGCCTACCCACCCCCTGCTCTGAAATACTGTGACACGGTACGGGAAGTTAAGAGCCTTTCGGGCTGTAACTATGCTTCTGAAAACACCCAACTGTCCATCTACCCAGAAGCCTTGGACATTCCAGCTGCTGTCGCCACGGCAGCTTCTCCAACGGGGTCACTTCCTCTGAAAATTCCCGGAGATTGCAGGGCCATCAGACATACTTTGCCTTTTCCTCAGGAGTCAGTGCCCTCCCGGGTGGACGGAGCAGAGACTTGGGATGTGTGTCCATCTGGACTGGGGTCTACAACTGGTTACTCAGATAGAGATAGTCCATTCCTGAGCTATGACGGTGAGGACTTTTGAACAACAGTCCTGGGCACATTGTAATGTTGGTCTCCAAGTGGGCGGTGGAACGTGACCTGCAAACTAGCCCTTAAGTTGGGAGATGCATTTAGCATGCAAAGAAATATATATATTATAAAAATATATATATATATAAATTTGTATATATATATATATATATACAAAACCAATGATCAGTTGAGTAAATTATAGGTTGGGAAAATGTTTAGCTAGTGTAGGGAAATTTTTCACAGCATTTTGAAACCCTCTATAGTACATAGAACTAGGTCTGGACTGTGACTGTCCCAGATGAACAAATAAGCAGACTGGAGACCATGAACATTAACGAGCTGAGCTCACCTAGTTTGCTAGCTGGAGAAGAAGTTACGAACCCTGCTTCTCACCCTAAGCCTTTCCCCACTGAATCACAGTAGGGAATTTCACAAATCTTTATTTGGCCCTTAGGGGTTGTCAAAATAGCTTGGGGAAGAAATCTTATCTCGTGAATCATTTTATAAGACTTATTTAGCATTTAGAACCTGTTAAAATAACTTCAGGAAGTAATTTGGTCATTTTATCTCCACGGTATGTATCTGTAGCTTTTTAAGAGATCTACAGTGTTGCAATGATCAGGCGCAGTTGTTTTTAAGATAATTTTGTTTTCCACTATCAGCTGAATAACTTTTCTTTTATTGTTGAATGCTTTCCTAACAGAGACAGCCTAAGAATGATGATGTGTATTTAATGGTTTCAAAATTAGAACTGAGATGTTTTACTCAAATATAGCTTTACTGTTCCTTTGTTACGCCTCATAAATGTAATTGATTATGTTCAATTAAACATAATAAAGACATTTTACTATTTACAATAGCCAAGACATGAAAACAGCCTAAATGTCCATCAACAGATGACTGGATAAAAAAGATGTGGTGTATTTATATAATGGAATACTATTCAGCCATAAAAACCGACAACATAACGCCATTTGCAGCATGTTCCTGGAGAATGTCATTCTAAGTAAGCCAGAAAGAGAAAGAAAAATACAATATGAGATCGCTCATATGTGGAATCAAAAAAAAACGTAAATACAAAACAGAAATAGATTCATAGACATAGAGTACAAACTTGTGGTTGCCAAGGGGGTGGGGGGGTGGGAAGGGACAGACTGGGATTTCAAAATGTAGAATAGATAAACAAGATTATACTGTAT